AAGGGAGGGAGAAGGGGAATTGCATGGAAGATGGAAGGAGACCCTCATCGTTATACAAAATACATGTATGACGATGTTAGGAGAAAAAAGAATTGTGTCACATTAGATTGGGGTAGAGAGAGGTGACAGGAGGGGAGGGGAGAAGAAGGGGGGATAAGAAGGACAGCGGAATAAAATTGACATTATTATTACTGTGTGTATATACGTGACTGCATGACCAATGTGATTCTGCAACCTGTACACTCAGAAAAATGAGAAATTATACCCCATCTGATTCAAATGTTTGATATGTCAAGGTTATTGTACTGACATGTATAACTAATTAAAACAAATTTAAAAAAATTAAAAAAAAGAAAATAAATTATTGGGAGCATGCTTGACTGTTTACTAGGCAGAATTATTTCCTCAACCCCCCACCAACCACTCACCATGTTTGTTTATACTTGTAAGCCTCAAGATTTATTTCTTCCTCCCTAGACTTATTCTTTCCTATTTTCTTAAAATAACCGTGAGTCACTATTTACCTGATCTCTTCTATGTGGTCAGGATACTTGTGTCTTCCTCATATATGTGTCCATGTGGATCTTTTGCATCTGTGAACAACTTGTTGAAAGCTATAGCACTTATAGGCAGTATCAGATATCATAGTGTTTGGCACTTACTTCTGTTGCTTAATAGGGTTTTCTGCATATTTATTGTGCATAGCTCCTGAAGAGAAAGTTCTTGAGAATAAGGAATGAGTTACTCATTCCTTTATTTTATTCTGAAGTTGTCACTCTCTTGATACAACTCTACATAGATTTTATTTTTCTTAATATAGGAGTTCCTAATCCTTATAAATACAGATACCCATCTTGGTTAAAAAATAACAATAATAATTTTCATTAGCTATCTCATGAAAGAGTAAACAAGGCATCTTTCATGATCCAAATTCAGCACTTAGTCAGCAGATATGGAAATTAGAGTCTCAAGGTCTCCAGCTGTGTAGTAACCTGTAATTAGACTCTCAGGACTGAGGGTTTTATCATGATCTGGTTTAGGATAGAACAGTTTATGGTCTGCTACTGATGTAAACTTTTCTAATCTAGCTCTCAAATAGCTGAAATTCATTCCATTTAGAAAGCATCTATAGTATGCACAGGTGGTCAGGGTTTTGCAAAAATAAGAATTATCCTCTTGTCCTTTCCAATGTAATGTTTGAAGACACAATAAGTAGGGACAAAGATAATGGAAGCTTAGAAACTAATGTTGTTTGTCTGGGAATCTTTCAAAATTTTTTATAAAACTCTAGATGGACTCTGGACAAAATTGTTCACCTGATAACAAAGCAACGCCTATCAGAAGGTGTTCTTTTATTTTATTTTATTTTCATTTTTTGGTACTGGGGATTGAACCAAGGGACACTCTACCACTGAGCTACATCCTCAATCCTTTTTTATTTTGAATTTTGAGACAAGATCTCATTAAATTGCCAAGACTGGCCTTGAACTTGTGACTCTCCTGCCTCAGCTTTCCAAGTAGCTGGGATTACAGGGTTACACCACCATTCCTGGCCCTTTTAGAAGTTTTGAATCTCATTTTCATTGCTTTTCTCCCATTTTTCTTCACATCATTCCTTACAAATTCCCTCACTTGTCCAGGGCATGGAGCTGCCCTCTCCACACCCAGGAACTTATCATTCTCATCCTCCTGGCTATACTTGACATCAACATGCTATTATTTATGTTCCAATCTCTGAGGAACATGCTAAGATTCTGAAGCTGGTATAAAAACTATAATTCAGGATAAAATAATGGTTGGAAGCCCCATTGTAATACACAAGAGCACTTGCATTTCATTTCTGAACTCTAGCTGGCTGTGTGAACGTGGTGACACAGTTCTCTTTGTGAGATCTCCAAGTTCCTGAATGTACAAGAGCTTCAGTTTTCTCATGGATGAATAGGCACCATGTAGGAACCCATGACATGGGCTTGTGGTGGGGATTAAATAAAATAATACGTGTAAATTGCCTGTCACAGTTTTACAAATACATCACAGGCATCATCAGTATCAAAATGAATACTACTTCCTGACAAAATATTAGCTTTTAAACAGTCTTTTCAAATTTTAACTTGAGACGAATAATGATAAAAAGGCATTAAAGTCTATTACTTGTTTGCTTTGTATTTTTATTTTTTGCTTGAAATACCACAAACTTCATCAAAATGCAATGCATGAAAGATACAAAAACCTACCCTATCAAATATAAAAAGAAAGAGCTTTAATCAATGGGACTCTTTCCTTTTAATCTCTTTCCCTACAGAGAAGATGTGCCAAGTGAGAATCTTGTTCTCTGTCTCTCGATATTAAACAAAAGCAACTCCAGGTTACCTTCAACAACTTTGGTGGTTTAACTCTATTACTTTAGGAAGCCTCACAGGACTTCTTTGAGCCTTAAAAGGTATTAGTGTCAGCATTGTTATTTTTGTTTGTTTGTTTTTCAATTGAACCAGGTTTAGTCTTTTAAATACTCATGTAACAAAAAGAATACGTGTGATCTGGGTTTTAGCTTTAATTTTATAACTAACCCCAACAGCTTAGGAAAGTCAATTTCTACATCCATATTCACTTCTCAAATATCTTTATTCTTAAAATACTTGCCTTACAACCACACAGGACAGTCATAAGATTAAAATAAAGTGTGAATTGAAATCATTTGCAAAGAAAAACCACTGTGCGATTTTAGGAATAATTATTTCCATCAGAAGCACCACAGCCAGAAGCCAAATTTGCACATCAACACTTCATTTACTGGCGACATGGGTACATGAGCATTTTAACAAAGATTGTAATTTATGTTTTCATGGCTTTTGCACTTTCGGTGACTATTCATGTTTACTGGCTTTTATCTAAAAAGGAAAAGTCTGTCAAATCTGCAAAATTAATGCCTTTCTAAAATATTTGTTTCAGTGACATTTGTGATGCTTATGATTCATTTCACTGCTAATCAGAAAGGAGTGGCTAATTATGCAAGCTGGGATTGAGGTCCTGTTGTACATTCTTCGTGAAGTCCTAAGGGTCACCTCTGAGTCTAGGAAAGCAGGACCTGGAAAGTGCATGGAAAGCAAATGTCACTAGCGTTTGGAATCATAGAGAGCCACTGATCTGTGAGAACCTGAACTGAAAACAGTTTCCCTAATGTTCCCAAATTCACTAGCTTCTGACTTTCCCAAATGACGCTGAACCAAAGCTTTTCATTCTCCAGAAATTCTTAGAAGTGCAATAAAGATGGCCCTGGGATCATTGATGGTGCACTTGTTAGGATGCTTGTATGGTACTTTGCCCTAGAAAGCCCTAAGAAAAGTGAGGCATCCCTAAGCTTTAGAAGAATATCTGAAAGGTCCAGGTACTAGGTCTATATTTCTTGTTTTCTGCAAATATCTGAGAATAGATTCATATTTAACTGTTGAGATGAGCTTGAATTCTTACCCACAGAAATAAAAGCATATCGTACCCTACATTGCTTTGGAGAAAGGGAAATAACAAAGAAAGAAAACAAAACAGTGCACAGGATACAAATTAATATTACAGCCTTGAAAACAAATTAGTTGAGATACTTAGACTCTCAAGTAAATGATACAAAAATGTCACCATGAAAATGAATTGTACCAAATCATAAGAACGTTTCTATATTAAGCATAAAATTACAAAATTTGGCTTTCTGTGAGATATTTTCATTTCTAGAAGAGTTAATATGCATTGAATGTGAAAATTCAAATTCAAAAAACTTTTAAAATAAGAGAAAACTCAATTTGCTTTGGTAAAGATTCCTACCTTAGCAAAGGATCTTACTAGCAGGCTACTTTGAGTGGATTAAAATTAATCATCAATTGGAATAACATAAACTCTATAAAATCATTTCAAATTTAAGGTCAATGCAAATGGAGATGAAGCAATTCAATTTAGACAATTAGATTTACCAAAACTTTATTTGAATGCAAGTTTTCAGTAATGTTGCTTTAGACAAAACAAGTCAGAGCAATGAAAATGTAAGATAACTTCCTTGATCCCTGAACCAGGATGGCTCAAGTATCAGGGGTAGCTCAAAGGAAATTTATCATAGATGAAAATAATTTCTGAATCAACCTGAGAAGTAGTGGCTTGTTTTGATTCTGGGAGAAAGGGAGATCCTGGTTTATCCACCACTGCATGAAAACTTACTCCAAAAAATAACAGCTTAAACATTTTGATTTTCTTTGCCATGGATTCTGTAGTTCAGAAATCGAGACAAGAACTCTGCGGGAGATTTTTTTTTTTTTTCACGTGAATTGGTTTGAGTGACTTATAAGGTGACTGGTGTTAGAACATGCAAAATGGTTTTGCCCAGATGTGTGGTATCTTGGCAGGGACAGTTGTGAGCCTTCATCTCACTTTGTCCACATGATTCTTTTTTTTTTTTTTTTCAGTCTTTTATTTTTTTTTATTGTTGGTTGTTCAAAACATTACATAGTTCTTGATATATCATCTTTCACACTTTGCTTCAAGTGGGTTATGAACTCCCATTTTTAGCCCATATACAGATTGCAGATTCACATCAATTACACATCCATTGATTTACATATTGCCATACTAGTGACTGTCACATGATTCTTTCTACAGAGTTAGCTTGGGCCGCTTTATAGTGTCTCAAACATGAATATCTCAAGTGAGAAAGGCAGAAGCTGAAGAAGCTTAAATTTCAACTTTCCAAGTATATACACTATGGCTCAAAGCAAATCATAGAACCAGCCCCAAACCAAAGGTATAGGGGAGTGATAAGGACCTGCTGTAAAATAGCATGTAAGATGGATTATATTGAAGTAGCCAACACAGTCAACCGCAGGACCACTTAGACTTCCTAGAAAAATCATGTGCATCATTTCTTTCAATTCTCAGTGTCAACCTTGGAAAGCAGCCACACTGAATACTATGTATCTTCTGAGAAAAAAAGACAGAAGCTAACAGATAAAATTGGCACTAACCTGGCGGAACTGTTCCAGGTCAATTTTGTTACCCACCAGCACCAGGGGAATTTCATAGGTGTGGCGGACCTGAAAAATGAGCTCTTTAAACTTGGCAGCCTCCTGGAATGATTGGCGGTCAGTAACAGAGTAACAGATGATGAAGCCCTCTCCGCCTCGCATGTACTGCTCCCGCATGGCTGTAAATTCTGCCTGCAGGGAAAGAAAAAGATTCTTTATGAATTGTAAGAGAATCAATATGAAGTATAGATGTATTATTATGGAATTTGAGTATTTTAAACTATTGAAAGTGTTGATATTTAACCAGAGAAGGGTTGTTTTAAGAGATCTCAAAAGCATATGGTAAATGGTGAATTTCACTCATTGTCTCATAGGAATTATATATAGAGGATATATTTTTAATACTTTTAATGACCTCACTTTAAGAAAAATCTAAATTAGATTTTCCCATTCATTAAAATGATTTGAACCTAAACTTGACATTGTTTACATTGCATATTTAAGCATTTTCTAAATCCCACCCTTAACCATTTTTTTCCTCTTAGGAACTATTAAAGAAAAAAACTTGGATCTAAAGAAATTGGCTTCAGTTTGCACGAAAAGCTAGTTTGTATTGCTAATCTGCCATAGGTCCTCCACATAACCTGGGAAGCAAACTGCTTTTCTCCTCAAAAATATGAGGAAAAACTAGAGTAAGACCATGATTATCCTTGTGAAACTATTTCCTGGACCTAGTTATATATTTGGATGTTCTTAGATTCGTCTCATGGATAACAGAGGGACAATTTAGTTTCTATATTCTGTTAACTCTTTCATCAGCATTACTTTCCAGATGGTACCAGTGCCCCAACTGTCCCTAAGCCATTCATGTTGCATCTATCTGTATTGCTACTTCTCTGCATCTGGAAGGGCAATGTTTTAAACTGCAATCTGGAATATTTCTTTAAGTCTGAAATACGTGTTTGAATCCACTGTTAAAACTACAAGAGATAGTTTAATATAAACTCAATGGGAAATATAAAACTCCAGCTCAGGCTGTGGAATAAACTACATGAAACAATAGAAGAACACAAGAAAATGTTGTGACATGAACAATTAGTGCTCTAAGAAATCAACAGATGGTTCCACAGTTTAGCTATTGTGAATTGTGCTGCTATAAACATTGATGTGGCTGTGTCCCCATAAATTCTTTGGGTTATAAACTGAGGAGGGACAGCTGGGTCAAATGGTGGTTCCATTCCCAATTTTCGAAGAAATCTCCATACTGCTTTCCATATTGGCTGCACCAATTTGTAGTCACTCTAGCAGTGTAAGAGTGTACCTTTTTCCCCACATCCTCGCCAAAACTTATTGTTGTTTGTATGCATAATAGCTGCCATTCTAACTAGAGTGAGATGATATCTTAGAGTGGTTTTGATTTGCATTTCTCTAATTGCTAGTGATGATGAATATTTTTTCATGTATTTGTTGATTGACTGCACATCATATTCTGAGAAGTGTCTCTTCTGTCCTTGGCCCATTTATTGATTGGGTTGTTTGTTTGTTTGTTCTTGGTGTTTAGCTTTTTGAGTTCTTTATATACCCTAGTGATTAGTGCTCTACCTGATGTAAGAGGTAAAGATTTGTTCCCAAGATGTGGGCTCTCTATTTACCTCACAGATTATTTATTTTGCTGAGAATAAGCTTTTTAGTTTGAGTCCATCCCATTTATTGGTTCTTGAATCACAATAGCTAAACTGTGGAACCAACCTAGATGCCCTAAAATAGATGAATGGATTAAAAAAATGTGGCACATATACACAATAGAATATTACTCAGCAATAAAAGAGAATAAAATCATGGCATTTGCAGGTAAATGATGGAGTTACAGAAGATAATGCTAAGTAAAGTTAGCCAATCCCAAAAATTCAAATGCTGAATGTTTTCTTTGATATAAGGAGGCCGATTCATAGTGGGATAGGGAGAGGGAGCATGGGAGGAATAGAGGAACTCTAGATAGGGCAGAGGGGTGGGAGAGGAAGGGAAGAGGCATGGGGTAATTAATGATGGTGGAATGTGATGATCATTACTATCCAAAGTACAGGTATGAAGACACGAATTGGTGTGAATATACTATGTATACAACTAGAGATACGAAAAATTGTGCTCTATATATTTAATAAGAATTGTAATGCATTCTGTTGTCATATATAAATAAGAAATTACATAATAAAAAATTAGCTATAAAAAACAAAAAAGAAATCAAAGGATGGAAACTTTAGGTGAACTTCAGTCATATTTGAAGACTTAGAAGATAGGATTCTTCATGTAACAAAGTATTTATAAGAATTATTAAATGCCCTAATTCATAGTATTTGTCTAAACACATGTTAACATGATTTGAAAAATGAGAACATTTAAATAGATTCAGGAACTTTGGGAAATTGGGGCACTTGATTACAAGTGCAGAAACAGTCTTTTTCGTGAATTTTTAAATCATGTTCAATAGATATGGAATAGTTCTAAACAGTATCATTGGGTTCAATCATTTCAAAGTCGCAAGGACTGGATCTAGAGAAGAGAGGATATGTGTCCAAGGTCAGAGAGCCAACTAAAGCCAGAGTTGGTTAAAATAATTTATATTCCCTCACTCTCAGTGTATCAAATTACTTTGCAGTAACTTTCACTTTAACTCAATCTTAAATTTAACCATTATTGAAATGTCCAAACATAAAGGAAAAAAAATCATACAGGACCTCAATTTCATCATCCACAAAATGAAGTTTGAATATGAAATATCTAAGATCCCTCATAGTTCTTACCTTTTCTCTTTTTGAAACTCCATACCACTATCTGAAACCCATACTTGATAAAGATTGAGTAGGAAAGTACAGACTGAAAATGCTAACTGATGCTTCCCAAACTTACGATTACATTGTCAAATGAAATAATAATGGAAATATGTTTAGGAAAATGTAAATATTTTTAGGAAAATGTAAATATATTTTTATCTATTATGATTAAAAAAATGCAAAAATGCAAAATAACTGGATGAGTTCTATTTTACAATATAAAGTTCACTCTACTTTCCATATCATTTTATGGATTAATATGTTTATGTTTAATGGTTTATTTATTTTTTAATAATTTTAAAAATCTGAGACAAAATATTCCAATGGTAGAAAAACATATACTATTAATTTAGGATTTTTTTTTTTCCATTTCAAACTCCCACTTTTTTCATTCAAATACATCACAGTTACTAGTTTATTTTTTCTTAGAGAAATGTCTATGTTTTTACAAATATATTCATGACATATATATACACATACGCGTGTATGTGTATATATTTATGTGTGTGTGTGTGTGTGTGTGTGTGTGTACACGTGAATGGATTTTTTCAGTGCTAGAGATCACATTCATGCTAGGCAAATACTCTACTAGTGTGATACAACTCAAACCTATATCTTTTTAGATTCAAACAATAACATAATATGTATAATTCTCATTTTATCCTGAATTAAAATTTAATAACCCCAATATATCTTATAAATCTTTTCATACAAGAATGTATAAAATATTATTTACTCTTTTCCACAGAGACATCATTATTTCTTTTATGCATGTATCATATTTGATGTAGTCACATCCTTATGATGAATAGATATTTAGATGGCCGCCTTTTATATCTATTATGAACGATGCTAAAATGTATATTCTTCAACATTCATAATGCATGGATTTATATATACCTGAGAACTAGAGTTGTTAGAGCAAAGAGAATATACAATTTTACTTTTGTGAAGTGGTACCAATCTCACTGAAAAGTCTTTGTATCAATAGTACTATATGAATGACTAATTCTTCTCATTCTCAATAATGCTGTTATAAGCAAACTTTTTGACTTTTACAAATTTTAGGATTAAAAAGAATTATGGTTTTTGTTACCTATGACTTATATTGAGAATCTCTCATTTGATTATGCACTTAGGTATTTCTTCTACTTATGAATTTTGTTATAAAGAATGAAGGGTTGTTTTTGCTTCCTGATTTTTAATTTAACTGTAGATTTTTTAAAAATGATCTAGAGAAAGATCTTTCCATGAAACTTAAGAAAAAGAGTAATACATTTCACTACTTCAATATAACTACACAATAAAGAAGAGACTAATAAATTTGAAAAAGACTAACAACCTATTAAGAAGACAACCAAAGTACATGAAAGCAAAATTCACAGGGAACAGTATTGGATAAAAGAACAAATATCCAGGGCAGTTTATTAACCAGGCTCAAAGCCACATATAAGTCATATTAAAAACACATATCCAGGGGTGGGGTTGTGGCTCAGTGGTACAGCACTTGCCTAGCACGTGTCAGGCACTGGGTTCAATCCTCAGCACCACATAAAAACAAAATAAAGGTATTGTATATAACTATAACTAAAACATAATATTAAAAAATACATATTCCAAGACCTTGCCTCCCAAGTCTATTGGGATCTCTAGGTATGTGGTTCCAGCACTTGTATTTGTAAGAGTTCCTTCATTGGTTTTACTTTGCACCTATATTCCAGAGTATACAAATGTGTTCATATTCAAAAGTGGGTTTTATGACACAACAGCCAGAAAAGGGAGTCGCAGTACATGATTTCTAGGTCTGGTACCCATTAGACTATATCTTCTGACAAATTGCCTAACATCTCAGATCCTCCATTTCCATCTTTGTCAAAGAAGGATTAGTATACACTTAACCCATATTACAGGGCTGAAGAAAGAATCAAATGAAAGAGCAGATGTGAAAACACTTTGATGAATTTTTAAAATACAATACAATTTAAGCCTATTACTATCTCTGGTACAAATCCGGCAGAACAGAACCTTTCACTGGGAGAATAAGCATGAAATCCTCTTTAAGCTGCATTAAATATAAATGTGTTGGTATTTTTAAAATATGCTCATCAGAAAATTATTAACATTTCTTTTCAAACAGAAGAATCTCTCCACCTCTAAAGCTGATATAATGGAGTTATCACAATGACTGGGGAGGGCACTTTCTAGTTGGATAGCTGACCTTATCCATATCAACTTTCACACAGCATAAGGATATGTGTCTGTGCATTTTACTTACAGATGCACTGAAGGAGGAAGAGGTCCAGAAAATTGAGCAGAACTCGGCAGCTATGTATCAACTTAATAATATATGATACGGAAATC